GGGGGCTTAGGACTTCTTATGAAAATGTAACTAGGTAGTTTTTTTTTGTTAATTTGAAAATCGATGCAAAACAATTGTATCCTTTAACTATTTCTCAATTGATTTTTTAATAGACTGCCAAATTGTTCCATTAATACAGCATTATCTAATAAAGCAATATCTAATCAAAATTACGTAATCAATAATATTGCTTAACTCCTTATTACTATTTATGCATTATAGCTTTCACGACTTTTGTATTCGAGGTTGGTGTATTATTGGAAAGAAAGATACTTGTCCATATTGTAATGAAAAAGTCAACTTAAAACAGACATTTACAAATCCGTATCCTTTTTGCATTAGTCGGGTTGTGAAGTTGCATTTTCAGAAGAGGTTTTGTGGAGATTTCAGTATTTTTCATAGTTAAAATCATGAGTCAAGTAGTTAAACACTCTGGTGTGAGACTGGTAGGTCCTCGGTTCGAATCTCGCAAGGCGGGATCGTGGATAGGCACTGCTGAGAAATCCCACAATAGGACGAAACGGCCATCCAGTGCTTCCAGGTTTTCCATGGTGATCTAACTTCAATTAACTCATGGTTTCAACTATGAAAAAGTTGTATTATAACAGTCGTTAATGTTGACTTGCAGAGGATGTTCCCAGTATAACGATAAACAAATTGAGAAGAATCAACCAAAGATCGCTTTATATTATCACAATGAACCGAATTTATAAGTTTAGATAGTATAATGAGAAGATGAAACATTATCAAAATTATGTAATACATTAACGCAATACATTTCAAATAATTTGAATGTACATACCACTTAAGAATATTCAAGGTCAATTAGACAAATGGGAGGTAAGCGAAAACAAAGATAATAATCAAGGGAAATAATATGAAAAAACAACGCGGAACTCATCCTACTGAATAAAGAGATGAATATTACCAAGTTAGTATAGGTTAGGGGTGAAAAAACAAGCTGTTTTTGCATAAAGAAGGTCTTACTTTTCGTAAGGTTAAGACTTCAATAGACTTCAGTACAATGCAACAAAAGTTGAGTTAAGAACAATCTTATGACCTTGTAAGCAAAGATCGATAGTGGCTGGCAGTGGAATCCAGGACGCGCGTTTCGTCCTACTTGGAACTGGTCAGCGCGCGTTCTGGATTCCACTGCTAGCCACTATCCACCTTTGCTTACAATGCTTGTGAATTAAGGCTATATGGAGGCAATACGCATGGTATGCACATACGCCAATTAGAGACTGACCAGCTGCAGTCCTAACACATCGATGGGAAGATACACGCAAACAATACTTAATGAATTTAATCTTATGACCTGTTTCAATTATGTATATGACAATAGAGGACGATGGTTATTTATCGTCTACTCAAACATAGTTAAACTGCTTAACACAAATTTAGTTTTCCAGACCTCTATGTAATAAATATCTTCACTCATGGTGTACCTGAGATTTATGACAAACAAAACATAAAGAAAAGGTTCAAATCAATTGTTAGTAAGATGTAGCAAAAATCATCACAAAGAAAACGAAAACCTAGACGTAGTGTCGACGGCCGTAACAAATCCCACTGTTTTATCAATGTACATATGTATGTGGGCATCCATACATAATCTTAGTTTGTAAATTAGGATGTCTGAGCCTGTACCTAAATGGCTGAAAAAACAAACGATAAAATGACTCAATAAGAGTAAACGATAAATAACCATCGTCCCTTAATGCCGTATATACAATTGAAACAGTTCATAAGATTAATCTTAACTTTTTTGGTGTTGTACTAAAGTCTATTGAAGTCTTAACCTTACGAAAAGTAAGACCTCCTTTATGCAAAAACAACTTGATTTTTCACCCCTAACCTATTCTAACTTGGTAATATACATCTTTTATTCAGTGGGATGAGTTCCGCGTTGTTTTACACATTATTTCCCTGGATCATTATCTTTGTTTTCGCTTACCTCCCATTTGTCTAGTTGACCTTGGGTTTTTTGACATTCGAATATTCCTAATAAGTATTATGTATAATCAAATTATTTGAAATACATTGCGTTATTAACTCGCATACTGGGTTCGAGTCCCAGAGTGAACATCAACTCTGAGATGTAGGTACATCCAGCTGACGAGTCTCAAATAGGACGAAACGTGCGTTCTGACTTCCACTGCTAGCCACTATCCATCTTTGCTTATAATGCTTGTAAATTAAGGCTATATCGAGGCAATACGCACAGGATGCATATATGCCAATAAGAGACTGATCAATTGCAGTTCTAAACCTCAATGAGAAGATTCAAACAAACAATACCAAGTGAATTTAAAAGGACTAATTGTTTCGAAAAGTTTATAAGTTCAGTAAAGTTGTAGTAGTAAAACTTGATGTGATTAACTTTCTTAACATTTTTGTAATATTAGATGGGATAAACCACATTTACTATACGGAAATCTATTAGATTGGGTACGGTATTTGGTCGCATGGCAACCTGTGATTCTGGGTGTAGTTCATGTGCTTAACTCCATTTTAGGACTACAATAAACAGTACCGATTCTTACAAAATGCATGTTCTCAGATGTTCCTTCTTACAATTGAAACTTGTAAATCATATGGTGTTTTTTTGTTGTATGAATAGAATTTGAAATAAAAGTTGTTTCTTTTAAATTCATTTAAAGGTTATTAGAAAGGGTTTTGTGGAGATTTAGTATTTTCATAATTGAAAGCGTGAGTCAATTGAAGCTACACCATTATGGAAAACCTGAAAGCACTGGTCTATCGGTTAAGTGCTCTGGGGCGACTGGTAGGTCCGGGGTTCGAATCTCGCGAGTGCGGGATCGTGGACACGCACTGCTGAAGAGTCTTATTTAAAGATGTCAATTAATGGGTTTGCGAAAAAAATGCAGTTCATACTCATAGTTAGCGGTACGTAGTTGATATTTATTCGAGTAATTTTTTCTAACAATGGTGCATAATTCGTTTAGACTTTCATCACTGTTCCACTGCTCAAGGCGCAATAAATAAGAAGCAGTTGTATTACCTAAACATATTCAAAGTCGGATTGTCTAGAAACTACAAATTGATTAAATCTCTACCTTTGGCGCTAAGCTCGAACCATAAATGTAAAATTAACTCTAAACATAAAAATCTTCATTCTAAACAAGAAATTTATACTGTACATATCAGCGACGATAAGTTTCTACATGTAAGCAAGTAAACCAATATATATGTTCGTATAGTCTAATGAATAAGTTTGGAAGGGACTCCAGTATGTCTTCAAAAATCGTTCAATACGAATATGCGACTAGTTAACTCCTACTTTCGTTTAGAATACAGGCAGCATTACACACACCGAACGTGTTGCCATGAAAACGGTTATATTAAGTTATCTAAATGTACGATATTCTGGATGATTGTTTAGCACGGAAAACGTTACATTTACTTGTCAGTTTAAAGTGGTGACTTTCAATTTATTTATTTGAACATATAAATATTGATACAAGGAAGCACCAGATACATCTGCGACGCACAAATCTCATTTGATTTGTGTGAGGGCTGGGATACTGACCAGGTGCCCAGACTGAAGCAGGTGGTTTTCTTAAGGGGTCACACCCGAGCCTTTGACCTGAAGGCCTAGTCCACAAGGCAGTAGAGCATCGTGAGTAGATGCAGTCCCATGGTAGCCGATGACCAACGATTGGTTCATACGCCATTTGTTCCATCAGGATACTGGAGCCTATTTGCACTATTGGTTTGAAATGAGGGTTTTCCGAATCCTCTAGGTGGACTCTCCGTTTACACCGACCCGATTAAAGAGTCGGATATCCACATTTCTTCCTCTAAATTTTGTAAATAACATCCCCACCACGAGAAGGCAGTGAGTTGGACTTCTCTGACAGTGGCTGTGTATGCGTGGTCATGTGAGAGCATTTCGATAGGGAGAGCGAATTCTCTCTACTCTCGGACGTACCAAAGCATTTGGGGGACTTTGAAATAAAATTTTATGGAGACTTTTCATCGAAAAATTAACTATATCAATTTAAATTCTGTTATATTGCATCAGACGAATTTTTGAAAATTTACAAATTGATAAACTATTTCCAACTAAGTGATTGACAGTAGGTCACAAGTAAACAAAATATTGTCTGTTGTTTCCCAACCTGACTTTTTCACTTGTGAGATGAACGCGTCTACATTACTTATTCACCAAACAAATACATTCAACCGATCTTATAAGGAACATGGCGACTATTTAAGATTAACAAAAAAGTGATTAGTTTATTTAGGTTCATGCAAATTAGATAAAATGTTCTTCAATACAGTTTCTTCCAAATAATTACTTCAATGTAATGATGTTTTCGTATCAGGAAAGATTATCATTATCAACTATCTCAGCAATATGCATACCATAACCAATACAACTTTGACGATGAATTATTAGTGATCATATCGCAAATAATATACTTCTATTAATTAACTTGGCAATTAACTCCAGGACGAAAAGCGAATGTCCGGTGCTTTAACCGGGTGGATGGACACAGCAAGTACACCTAGGGGAGTTGGAAAACCCTGATTTCAAACCAATGGTGCACATGGGCTCTAGTATCCTGAGGAAAAACATAATGTATGAACCATTTATTGGTGACCGGCTACCATGGGACTGCATCTCCTCACGATGCTCCACAGCCTTTTGTGTCAGACCTTTGAGTCGAAGGCTCCGGGTGTGGCCCCCTAAAAAAACCACCTGCTTCAGTTTAGGCACCTGGGCAGTATCACAGCTCTCACACAAATCAAATGAGATTTGTGTGGCGCATATGTATCTGGTGCCCCTTTGTACCAATATTTATGTGCTTAAATAAATAATCGTATATAGATTTTTTGATAAAATGTTATTGCAATCAACGTTGAAACGTATATTTTAAAAAAAGAGGTAACATTAATCATAGGAATGTTATAATCTCAAATATTTATATTTTGTACAAAATCATTATTGCTGTTTATAGAAAGGGGGGCGGTTAATTTTCACAGTTCGTAGAACTAACAGGATCAACAGAGCATGACTGTTGAAATTTATCTAAATTTAAGTAAAATAAACAAACATATCAGTATAACGATGATTATACTACTATTTAAAGTTTTTTATATTATAGATGGTATACATTAGATTATTTAGATGTTGTTATATCTCCCAAACAGAATGATGGATGGTAACTTTTGAGAACTGTTTATGGACCAATATGATATGTATATTTCCTATTCGGTTAAGGGCTCTGGCTCGAAACTGGTAGGTCCTGGGTTCGAATCTCGCGAGTGCGAGATCCTGGATGCGCACTGCTGAGGAGTCCCATAACAGGACAAAACGGCCGTCCAGTGCTTTCAGGTTTTCCATGATGGTCTAGCTTCAATTGACCCATGATTCCAATTATTAAGATGCTAAATTCTTCACAAACCCCCCTCTATTCTATAATTGTTAAGTGACTAAACTATTCTTATTCGTGTCCCTCTTATTATAAGCTTTATTTTGACCTATTAACTATTATTATACGATTCACCATTCTTGAGTTATCCCCAGTCTATTGATTACTGTTCCCTTTATTCACAGTCACATTTGGCGGAATCTTGTACAAATGTTATTTTCTATTTTATGGTACGATATGGTCAGTTTGGTTGGCAATATAAATCCAATATCAGGACTCAGTGGCCGAGTGGATAACGCGATGGCGTTTGAAGCGAGGGTACTGGGTTCGAGTCCTAGAGTGAACATCAACTCTGAGATGCAGGTACATCCAGCTGACGAGTCCCAAATAGGACGAAACGCGCGTCCTGGGTTCCACTACTAGCCACTATCCAGCTTTGCTTATCATGCTTGTGAATCGAGGCAATACGCACAGTATGCACATGTGCCAATTAGAGACTGACCAGTTTCAGTCCTAACATATCGATGGGAAGATTCAAACAAACAATACTAAGTGAATTTAAATCCAATATGTTTGAGAATAATAATTCATATTGCAGAGGCTGTTATTGGTGTTCTGGACTTAACTGACTGGGCTAGGCAGAAAGCAAGACTGATAAGTATTCAAAAGACTGCTTATACGGCTTTTGTGTTTCATTGCTCTGATCGATAATTCACTGCTCTCTGGTAAGCTGTCTTATAACGTCAAATATTAACAGGGCACGCACTCACTCAATCGATATAACAGATGTTACTACTAAATGGTTTGAATTCTGGCACAAAGCAAACGTGCAACTAAGATCTATTAAAATTTAATATATATATATATACTACTATAAATACTACTTATTTCGCTATGTATTAATTGAAGTTTGCGAAATGATTGCCAAAAATTAGTATATTAGGTCATAGAACATTATATGTAGGAAGAACACTTGAAGCAGTAAACCTGAAATCTACAGCTTAAAATACACCAAGAAAATTATGACAACATGATTTCAAATGTTTCACGCGTAATATGCCTCACTGCCCTGGTTTTGATAGAGACTAATCTCCGTTATGCTTGTATGTCACGTTGTCTGTTATTTTTTATTACACTTCAAAACCATGATTTTCCAATTTGAAGTAGGCTGTTTATTTATCAATTAGGAAACAGAACTCACCTTTTGTGGTGGGTTTTTTATTACAGAGGGGTGAAGGAAGATCTTAATGTTTGCGGCCTCCGAGTTTTCCGAATGCCCTGATACAGCTGAGGGAGGAGTGTCCGCTCCTTCTTGAAGTGTTGTCATGTAGCAACGCATATATAGAAACCCACTGAGACAAAAGTCCTACTCATTACCTTTTCGTGGAGTTGTTGTTAACGAGATTATGAGGACGAAAAGCGAATGTCCAGTGCTTAGATCGGGTTGGTGGATATGGAGCATACACTTAAGGAAGTTGGAAAAAGTCTGACTCCAAACTAACAGTTCAGATGAACTCCAGGATCCTGAGAGATCAGATGGCATATAGACCGATTTTCGGTCCCAGACTGTCATGAGACTGCATCTCCTAAGATCGCTCCACTAACTTGTGGATCAGATCTCTAGGTTAGAGGCTGAGTGGTGGTCTCCTAAGAAAACCTTCTGCTTTGGCTTAGGCAGTATTCTAGCCCACACATAAATGCAATGATATGTGTGGCGCATATACATTTTGGTGTGCATTTATACCAATGTTTGTGTTCACATAAATAAATATTAATCCCCAAATAGATAAGCAAAACTGAACATTACACCGGTTGTCCTGTTTGTTGCATTTGAATATGAGAGTACATAAGTGGCGTAATATGGAATCTCATCATTTGATAGACAATCTCCTCAGAATGAATTTTAAAGACTAAGCGCTTTGTTGTCATTTAAAATTCTCATAAATTAACTGAAACCTACTTTGAATAGATGTGAAATCTTTTGATTCCACAAATTCATCGTTATCATCATTATCTGAATCACTGTGTGGACGAATTTCTATACCATCAACATCAGGTAGTGGATCATTTTCAGCTTCATCATCATTACCAGCCAAATCCAAAAGCATTGGTCCATGTTTAGATGAGTGAGACTTACTAGATTTATCTGAATGCAAAACAAACATGAGAATCTGATACGTTATAACTCAAAAAACAATCTTTGTTAAATAGATTAAGGATATTAATAATTGAAGAAGGGTACTAGTTCCATAATAATCTGATAAGGAATCAGTCAGTCACAACGTAGAACTTCGTACGTACGCACATCAGGTCGAGTTGCTATACCACATTAACACAGAAATCCAGTTGTCGATTCAAATCCCATAGTGGTAGAAGTAGTAAGAGTATAAGCAGTAATCCGAAAGATCATGGTTTGAAGATGTTATTCGAGGCGTATAATACAATGAAATAAATTTCGAAAGAGAAAAAATATAGAGACATGAAGAATTCAGATTAGAATTTAATAGCACACAAAGAGTGGATGCACCTTCGCCATTGCAAACGATTTTGAGCCATGTCATTCAAGGTCTCTAACCATCAATTGCTATCATCTCGCCAATCCCAACCAGGTAGTCTACACCTACCAATATGGCTCAGTCCACTTGTCAGTGACTTCATCGATTCGTGCCACATTTTGGTCTGGCCGCCCCTAGCTTTCTTCTAACCTACTCCTACACTATAAAACATTGCACGCCGGGACAGTCGGTGGTTGGGCATACGTAACACATGTCCCAGCCATCTCAACTGATGAATTTTCACTACTTCATTAACCAATTTGCTATCCTTACCTAGTACCCGTCTCCCAGCAAAAGTTTCATTGATTCACTAATCGATTTGCTATCTTTACCTAGTACCCGTTTCCTAACAACTGCATTGCTTATTCACTGGTCCCAGGATATACAAGCAATGTGTCGAAGACACCTATGGTCGAATACTAGTAGCCTACAAATGTCCTCTACTCTTACCGGTCATGTTTCACTGCCATAAAATAGGACGGAACGAACTGCTGCACAGTAAACCCGTCCTGTTCTTCCTAGACGGATATCTCGCCTACACCATAAATGACGCAAGTTGGCGAAAGCTAGACGAGCCTTCTGTATCTGTGTTGAGATTTCGTCACACACCAGACCACAAGGGCTGATGAGACTCCCAAGATAAGTGAAGCGGTCGAAACGCTCAGCTACTTCACTCCCTATCATTAATTCAGGTGCCGATGCAACCCAATCCTGAAGTAACATTTTGAACTTCGAGGGGGGAGAATCGTATCCCGAACATGCCTGCATAGTTGCTTATAGTGGTCAGAAGACTCTGCATTTTGTCAGAGTCTTCACCAAATAAAATTATGTCATCGGTGTATTCCAAGTCAGCAAGTGAGTCTCCCGGTAATCTGATAAGGAATGAATAGTCTTACACACTAACTTAGTCATACAATTCTCAGGAAAAATGCATAATTATAAGATTTTATAGATTTTTATCACATTATTTTAATGATACACCTATAACGCCAATTTAGATCCCTAAGTTACAGTGTCGAACAATGTTTCACTGGAATTAATTAGTACGTCGAGTTGGGTGTTAAAATTTTATACAGTATGTATAGTCCACTGTTTACTGCATAAAAATCTGCTTTTTAGGATATATAATACCAACTTACCGCTTGAATCTTGCTTGTTTTTTTCTTGTTTAGCATACAAACTTGGAAGATTTATCTGTTAAGGAATAAAAGATAATAAGATCTATCATATAGCAACAAACTTTTGGAAATTATGATACCTACTACCTATGGTGTACATAAAAAGAAACCATTTTCAGCTTACTGGTATTCCTTCACTATCAAGTAAGATTTTAGACACCGAAACGAATTAAACCTTATCATCTCCGATAGGCACAAAAGCCGTCTCATCGCAGTCGTAAACGGCTGCTTTATCGTTCCCATAGAAAGATGAACAGAGGCTTTGGAAGAGTAACAAGAGAGACTACATTATAGTATACAGACACTATGAAATTCGGGTGGAAATACGAACACACAAGAAAAATGCTGCATAAAATCCAAGAGGGTCTATTACTATGTATTCAGAATAGTGGGATATCAATTTTTCTATCTTCGGAATATAAATAAGTAAATGAAAAGAAGAATACTACAATGACACTTCATCTAAACAGAAACACATATCAACTTAGAACCTGGAACAGATGTGTGTTGACCCAACTTGGAATATCACATTAGCTTGATTGAAAGAATGTAGTATCAATGATCCAATAAATAACAATGATTTAAGTTGTCAGAAAAACTAAGCTTTGTCTTCGATGTATTAGAATTGCAATGACGTGTGTTTCTACCATTTCTAGTTCTCACTGTTCAGTTCGATTGGACAGCGCACAATCAACTGTCTGCGGAAATCTGCTCTGCTTCTTAGCTTAATGCTGTTCCTACGCAATTAAGGCCACGAGAAGTAGCACTTGAGTCTCCAGGTACACAAAGGGTAAATCATTCTGGTCTTCCATATTGACTAGGTGGGTCAAATGAATGGCAACAATTGGATTCCGTATCCAAGTTTGGGAGATACCGTATTTGTCAGTGGCGCGAGATTCTAGATTCCTAGCTTATGAAGCCTGTTTGATTTGACATGAGGCTCACACACTGAAAGTTCGAATAAGTAGTTTGGAGACGAAGAAGAAAATTTCATGGGTTCGAATCGTCAAGATTGGTGCCGCACAGAAAAAAGACGAAGTTGCATAAGGGATGATAATAAGGATAGGAAAAATACTACGAAACAAGGAGGGAATTAAATAGTGAACAACGCGAGTTTGGGATCTTCCATCTTGAGACTCCAAATAATGAAAATAGATCAAAGCCGGTTCTCAACACTGATCAGTAATAGTCATTTTACAACGTAACAGCTTGATAATACTTTAAAACATATAATTATCACCTATAAACACAAAATTATTTATGTAAGGAATTATCACAAACCTTAAAGTATTTTTCTTTGGCTTCATCAATCTCTTCCACAAACTTTGTCATGCCTTCACCAGTTATCGACGAGATACCACAACAACGCAAAGTACTATAGAATTCATCTAATACTAATGACATAGAATGAACCAGACTATTCATGTATGGTGATGTCCCAGGACAAGGATTATCACCTTCTAATTCAGACGGTCCATCAGTTGATTGATGATGACCAGCTAGAGCATCTTGAAATGTTTCAAAGTCCCTCATCCATTGGATAGCGAAATCACAGTCTATAATATCAGTCTTACAAAAAAAGTGGAAAAGATAAAATGCAAAAAATATGTTCAATTCATTATTTATACCTGAGTTCATAAGAATATTTTACGGAAATAACAATTACAATAGTAACTATTGGTAAACCCCTAAAATACACAATCCCATTTACATTCGGAAATTGGGTTGGACAGAAGTGTGACATAATTATACTTGATTCTGTAGGAAATCAACAGGATTTGATAGAACCAGATTTCATAAGTATGGATACCCATCAACATATATTTATTTATTTAAACACATAAATATTGGTACAAAGTGGCACCAGATATATATGCGCCACACACAAATCTCATTTGATTTGTGTGAGAGCTGTGATACTGACCAGGTGCCCAGACTGAAGCAGGTGATTTTCTTAAGGGGCCACACCCCGAGCCTTCGACCTAGAGGTCTGATCCACAAGTGGAGCATCGTAAGGAGATGCAATCCCATGGTAGCCGGTGACCAACGATTGATTCATACGCCATTTGTTCCCTCAGAATACTGGAGCCCATGTGAACCATTGGTTTGGAATGAGGGTTTTCCAACTCCTCTAGGTGGACCCTCCATATCCACCAACCCGGTTAAAGCGTCGGACATTCGCTTTTCGTCCTTTCAATTTCGAAAACAACAGTAGTGCCACGAGAAGGCAGTGAGTAGGACTTCCCTGGCAGAGGCTATATACGCGTGGCCATGTGAGAGCGTTTCGAGAGGGAGAGCAGACTCTCCCCACTCTCGGCCGTACCAGGGCATTTGGAGACACCCATCAACAAGACAAATGGGAACCTCCTGCATCAAATACATATTCACTTAGATATTTAAATCTGTATCGCTCAACGTTTTTTAACTTTCTACCTAATGCTTAATGTATTTGAAACTATTAAGTCCAACCTTGGCAGCATTGATATATCCAAGTCCGTTGTTATTTCTCCATGGAACTAATAGGTATACAATGTCCTAAAGTATTCTCTCAAACAAGAAGGATGGATTACTGGCTACGTTAACCTCTTTCAAATATATGATGATGAAACGGTTGAATGTTGTATTGTCATTTACGATATTAGCAGTTATATTGGATTCCGTCGTAAAATGTTTTTCATTAGTTAAATCTAAGAATTAGACCAATGCCTTAGTTATCATCTGATAATAAACTTTGTGATTTTTTTAAATGCAATCTGAACCAGTTACGTGACGATCATATGTCTAAAATTAAGTGACAAATAAATCTATAAATGCTTAGTTCGATTATAATTAAGTTGACTTTATTGCTATATTAAGTAGGAGCAATTTTAAACATTTGCCAGCTAAAGAGCTCATAAATAATGACAGAAGACTTGTACATTTAACTCCGCCTGTAGCTTCTCCAGGGGCTACTGCCAGTCCCAAGCCCGGGTAAAGAAGCAGGGTTGGGCATGGGGTTAGCGACCCTATCCCGTAGAAAACCAACTCGCTAAAAAAACGCTAATCAGAAAAATGCTGGTCGGCGGCCTTTGCTCCATTGGGAGTAACAGGCGTAAGTAAGTAAACTTGTACATTCGACTTATCGTGCCCTTCTGTTACGAAACAGGGAAGCATTTGTTTCATCATGTTAGTTTTAATGAGGAGAATGGAGCTTTTTTTTAAAGTGAACGGACTAAATCTCCAACAATTCACTTCTGCATTTAGGAAGGACAGACTTAAACAATTCTCTTACACTTCGTTTTTCAGAAACTGATATATTATAGTGATTTGACGTTTGTAGGACATAGACAACACAGTTATTTTATTTGAAGACGAGAAAGCACTTTTCTGGGCAATACAAGTTAACCAGCATTCGTACTAATAGAAAGAAAAATGACTATTACTCATTTTCTGTAGTTCACCTAAATTACTCAATGCATGTCCACAATGCTAGATCATTATCAGTGAGTGGTATCCCAATAAACTAAATTTATGGCTTTTTAGGAAGTTTTTTTACTAGACTTTGAGATGAACCCACCTAAGTGAGATATAATAACACTATTCAAACATTTATACTAATGTAAGGAGGGGGAAATTGGTCTTGAGTACTGTTAGAGGTATGAGAGCAGTCACCCCTTCCTCGTTACCGTAGAAGAGTTCTTCTATAAGCATCTGAAAAGGAATTTCGGTTAGAGTTGGTCTTAGTGACTTGAGGGCGTGACCGCAGTGCTCAAAGAGCAACTGCTTGAGGCCGGTCACACACAACTATTTTGTAGGTAATTTTTGTGTTAGCTTCGCACTTGTTGGGACCTTACTGCCGGAGACGGATATCCGTGGGATATAGCGAGGTGTGCATTTTTAGGGTCGACCTTTTCTAACCCCAACCCTCCTTGTAGGAAGACAGCATTTCTGTTATGCTGGTTGTTTGAAAGAAACACCTTACTGCCGTCACACTTCTGTACAGTTGGCAGTATGACTTCGCCTTCGGACTTGGGTTCGCTGCTTTTGGTCTTACCATTCTTTAACCGACCTGCCTGGCATGGTAGGGCCTTGAGGGATGATCATTCCAGCCGGTATAACCCGAATGGTTCATCACGATAGGCAAGCCCGATCACCACGTCAAGGTAGCGGCAATGGTCGGGACTGAAGTAAGTGAGGACAGTCTGAACAGGTAGTGTCATTATTAGTAGTTGGATGTTAAAACCACTGAACTATATCTCCAATTAACAGGTCAGCCAAAGGAATATAAATAATAATGGGATTCATAGTTAACATTCATCAACTTATACCTTTTGGGGTTGCATTGAGAACTCTATACAAGAAGTTGTGTTATATGTAGCCGACAGGATTGGAGAACATTAAATTTTACTGCGCTAACATGACCTTATTGTCTAGTTAAATACATCGCTTGAATCAAATAGTCAGCTTAAATTATTCAAAGCGAAGAATGCGTTTCACGTTTCCAAAGCTGATTAATTCAATTTTTAGTTGTTGTACTGTAATGGAAGAATGTAGAATATTTTAAAGTTATCGGATAGTAGTATGAAAATAATTCTTTGGATCTACGAGCACTAGTTTGAATGTATAAAGATAATAATAGTAGTAGGGTGGATTAAAAAGAATGATGGGGTTTAAATGCTTTCACTTCCTATCCTACACTAAAAAGAAATTCTTCAGCATATCCGGAGACTTATTAAGCTGAGCTGTAACATACTCAGTAACTTATCATTTATAATCGATATAAGTTTTGTGAGTCAGTCAGTCAGTCTGTCACAACGTACAACTTCGTACGTAGGTACACCAGTTCAAGTTGCCATACCACATTAGCACAGAAATCCAGTTGTCGATTCAAATCCCATAGTGGTAGAAGTAGTAAGAGTATAAGCAGTAATCCGAAAGATCATGGTTTGAAGATGTTATTCAAGGAGTATAATCCAGTGAAATAAATTTGAAAAGAAAATAAAGATAGGGACATGAAGAATTCAGAAGATTAGAATTTGGCAGAACACAAAGAGTGGATGCACCTTCGCCACTGCAAACGTTTTTGAGCCATGTCATTCAAAAGGATTTTATAGTTAACAAATGAAATCAAAGTAATATTTAATAAATAAAGGATCATAGTAATAGATACATAAAATGGGTCAAAAAGAGATTTTTAAAATCCAACAGCAATTATACAATGCTTACTTTATTGAGAACTAATATAAACGGAAGTTGCATTTTATACAACACACTGCAAGCATAGAGCATGTTAGACATGAATGTGATAGGATTGTGACTTCGTGGAGTATCCATTACGTAGATAATCAGAGTAGGAAAAGAATTGCCCTAAATATAAACACTTATTAACCAATATAAAATTCAATTTACTAATAGTTCTGTAATAATACTTCCTGAAGCAGACCATGTGAACACTTCGATCTGTCCAGGTGTATCAATTATTACATAGGAATACTTTCCGGAGTTGTTGTTAATTATATCCACAACTTTATGAAATTGTGAGGCGAAAAAATTCAACGATGTCATAATAGCTCCATTTGGACCATAACCATACTGTTTCATGACCTCTTTAAACTTGACAGTATCGCGAATATCTTTAAACATTACCAGTAAACTGAGACTTACCAATGTTAGAATTGTATGGAATATGATGAACTGCTGGGTCTAAATTAATTGTATACGACGAATTTGATGAAACTGTTAAATACTCATTTAGCTTCTTCACAAATGTCGTTTTGCCTGAGCCAGCCATACCAAGAACAATCAGGCAAATCGGTTTAGTCCGTAAATCTTGCTCAAGCTGATTCATAATTCTTGAGAGGATGATTAAAGTGAAAATTATAGGATCAAGGAAGAATTAGTGATGTGATAATACTGTCAATGATGAACACAGATTGGTAATATCAATAGACTGAACATACTTACAGACTAGTGTAAAAAGTATTCCGGTGAATTCAACTATTAAGGATTTTAGTACAGCCTTCGATAAGGTACTTCACATGAGTCCTAGAATGAATCAGCAAAGCTTCAGTGCTGACTGTTATGGATTGGATCAACCACTTTCCCAGTGACTGGAAACAACATGCGAAGGCATTGATAGATAATTTTAAATTACCATATACAGATTCGTAAACACGGCTTTGAGCCACACTCTAAGTGTGAGGGTCAGAGAAACTATCCAGTAGTCCAAACGGAAAAAAGGCGTGGAGTTCGAAGCCACAACATAGTGGCTGGAAGTCTAATGACTCAACCATTGGGAGTGGACACCATCTTGACATCATGCAAAACTGCAAACAATGAAGCTTCCGGAGAACAATAATAAGCCATTTACCCTATTACTATAACGTAAACGCTCTGCACAAAGTAGCACGAGTTCAAAAAGCAATAAACTATCCCGTTTTAAATTATTTATTTTGTGTTACGTTTATTTTACCAAGGGCTTAGATTCAAACCCACAATTAACAGTTTTAGATATATTTGGGTTTGTAAAGTGCTTTTTTATACGTCGGTTACCTCAACAATCACTAGCTGAAGTTTCTTTCTGGTACACATTTATGTATTTATAATTAGCTTAATTGCTGTTTCGGCATCAAAATTTTCAAGGCAGCAAATTAATTGATCACAGCTAGCGACTTCAAGTGGATGTTTCGACAGCCACCTACCGTCAATTAGTTTACAATGTGCATTAGTACAATATATCACCAAATAGATATGCGCCACACAATAACAATGAGGCAAGTAGCAGTCATCATTGGTTTGTGTGAGGGCTGTGATACTGCCCGAGTGTCCAAACCGAATCGAGTGGTTTTCTCAGGGGGTCACACCCGGAGCCTTCGACCTAAAGTTCTAATCCATAAAGTAGTGGAGCAAACTTAGGAGAAGTCCCATGGTAGCCGGTCATCAACGATAGGTTCATACGCCATTTGTTCCCTCAGGATCCTAGAGCTCATGTGTACCATTGGTTTGGAATCAGGGTTTTCCAACTCCTCTAAGTCGATCCTTCATATTCACCAACCCGATTTAAGCACTGAACATTCGCCTTTATTACTCCTAATTCCGTAAACAACACCCCTACCACGAGAAGGCAGTGAGTTGGACTTCTCTGTCAGTGACTGGATATGCGTGGTCATGTGAGAGCATTTTGACAGGGAGAGCGAATTCTCTCTACCCTCGGACGTACCAGAGCATTTTGAGGCCCACTCACCATTATGATGTAACGAAAATTTAGCTCCTATCCTGTGGAGAACAGTGATCAAATTGCATTGTATTTCAGGCTTAGAAAACATTACACCATATGAACCTGTTCTACCCCATCTCAATATCTGGCGAGCAAACATTCAAGGAGTCATGCTATCGCAAAAATTGGTTAGTTAGTATAAATAATTAGACTGAACATGAAGGGATAAGTTCAAAGCCATACTATAAGATGTGACAAAACCATTTGCCACATCTTAAAATACATATAAGCTATCATATCTATCTCCATGGATTGATAAGGAAATTCGATAGTTACTGTGGCGTAGAAAACTTTTGTGATTCATTTTTAAAAGAACGGCCACGAATCGTTCAAGTGTGGGCACCGAAAGATCTGGAGTATGTGTAAAACGGCTATCTCTAGAACTCTCACTTCTTATGAAACGCAGTTGACACACGATAACTGTACTAGCGTATACGATTTTTCTCGTATATTGACAGGAGGACAAAGCAGTGATAGGATTTATTTGTTCCTGTTGCACGAGAGTCAAGACGCACTAGCTGGACCGGATATGATCAGAGTTGGCTTATTAAACCGTTCTAATGAGTACTACTCCGAAGATGTTGTTATCGATACTTCTCATAACCTCACTGTTGAGACGAACAAGGGGCCATTGCTTGCAACTAAGATAGCCGTTTTTACCTAGTAGCCTTAAAAATGATAAGTCCCCAGCCCCTGGCAGATTACATTTACAATTGATGTCGTCCCTCCGGGACACAACTTCAAAACCACTTACAACGTCATTTAGCATATCCCTTATCCAAACTCAATTCCTATGAATTTGAGATCCTACAGTTAGCCCTATATTTAAGTATGGAAAGAAACACATTGTATTTAACTACTGACCTATTAGTGTAACTAGTAGGGCAGCTAAGGTATTTGAAATGAATAATTTGCGCGAAGTTATTAAACTATGCAGTATTATATATTTTAACACCTGATAAACTCGGGCTTCAGAAAATTCATGCTTAACTAAGTCCGAGAAAAAGTTAGAAAGCAGCTTAAGATAGTGGTTTGTCTGTCGATGTGATATTTACAGATTTTAGAAAGGTACCTGATAAGGTATTTCAATTAGGTCTTACGAAGCTCTCTCAATTGTAAGGAAAATTTTACCAATTTTTGGGAAGCGCCAATGAGAAACTTTGAGGAAATGAGACAAAAAAAACCCAAATTTTCCTCTGGTTTGGGGTCTACCATGAAATTTCCCCAAAATTTTGAGGCTTCTTGGGAGTTCTCGGTTTTTGAGTTATAATTAGGGTTTAAAAACCGAGACAAATTAATCTCAGTGTGCAATTCCGTTCTGAAAAAGACGAAGATTTCATTTTTTTTTATTTGTATGTAGCCAACTGTAGGAACACCCTGACCGAATAACTGCCATCAGCCCACTAGTGAACACTTTAAAAACAAAATGGATCACCAATAGAATACAGGCTGCAAGGATTAACCCAGGACAACCAACCTACTAATCTTATCACTGCCCAATAAACAAATAACGGTGAAATTAAGGCGAGGTTTAGGACTTGGGGTAAATGAAGGCGAAAATTTGGTTGTTCTTCTATTATGTCGATTATTTAGGCGAAATCTCTCTGAGAGGAGGAAAAATTGTAGACCATGATCAAGATCAAACCTCGTGAGGTCTGAAAATTGAAAAGTCCCGGTTTGGAAAGGACAGGAGGCTAGGTGACCTGTGATAGTCTTAGCAATGGTGGTCTTATAGTCGATCTAATTTTCTTAGAAACCGTAGACAGATGGAGCTTTGATCACGTGTTGAAATAATGGATTCTATTCGTTTACGATTCGATAGGAAAGGAATGAGATGATAAAAATTATCCAGCTTGACAAATAACCAAAAATCAGAGAGACCAAATGTACACATATTGGTGCATATAATCAGCGATTTCCAAAGTAAATGTTATTAGCAGCTTACCTTCGGCACAGTAGGTAACTATACTCAAATCTCCCACTCTCCTTGTCCCCACGACCTTGAGCTCCAGATAAACGGCGGGTATTCCGTATAACAAGGGCATATTTGGCGTCCAAGGTCGTTGTAGACGACAGGTAATCGCAATACGAGTGTACTCATAATGTTTGCGGGCTTTACCGTCGTAGTTACTAAATTCGTTTAGATTTCATGTATTGAGTCGGACTTTAGTTTCTGCTTTTTGTTCTTTCATATTTTATTGCACGTTTATTTTTCAGGCACTGCCGTCCTAACAACACCCTACTCATGCAACAAGATAACATGGTAAATACTGGAATTCTTTTTGCTGCATATGTCATTTCTTTGGTTCTTGTCTGTCCTCACACAAAAGTAGAGGAAAGCTTCGGCATGCAAGCCTCACACGACTTGCTCTATTTGCGAACTAACATATCTATGGTGTGTTTACAAGATATTTTCTACGTTGAAATCACAGTACGATCATAACTATTTTCCAGGTGTTGTGCCGAGGTCGTTCCTGGGTTGCTTGTCTGTTGTCTGGATTGTATCGCCGCTAGTCTACGTAAACACCTTGTTAGGAATGCATAAGTTCATTTCTCAGTACATTGGTAGTACATATTGCTAACCTTATTGCCTAGTTAGAATATGCTTAGGATTAATAACGGCCCTGAGCATGATCAATTTCGCACATTGCGTGAAGAAAGTCTTCGGAAAACATGTATGCATACGTCTTCTTATAATCTGCTGCAGTCAGTTCCACTTGGCGTTTTATGCCTCACGAACGCTACCGAACACATACGCTTTTATACTTGGTACGTTTTATTGTCAAATTTGTTTCTCGTTCAGATGTTTAAGACAGGTGTAGAGAATTATTTCTTTTCAGTTAGTTCCTCATCAAGACTAGACTGTGTAAGTTTTACAATTAAGAATAAAATCGATACTGAATAAATGGTTGTCGGTCAGTTCAAAAATGTATCAGCATTTTCCCTGGAAACACCAGTCATCTAAAAAAATGGATCGAAAATCAAATCTAAAGTTAAGTTTACTAACTACGTAATCTTTAGGCTTGATTTTGCATCTGTTGAGTTTTTATACGATTGTTGCTTCTAGAGAAAATACTGATAAATTTTTGGATTGCCCAGCAATCATTTATTTGATATTGTTTTCATTCTCAAGTATAAAACTCAACCACAAGTACCTGCTGAATGAGTTTATGGTGAACTTTTGTCAAAACGAATAACATCAGATAATATTTTTCAGCCTTGTCCACTTTCCCTATTTTCTAATAGATTTATCATACACATTCTTTCAGAAATAACGCTCTCATCTATTTTTTCAGGGAATGATGTACCACGACACTCATTAGTTAACTTGGGATGCACATATACTATAGTTTGCTTAGTAAAGATTGAGGACATGTTTGTGGTTCGTTTATCACCGTCTAAATCAGCGAAATCTAACATATTGAGGTTACGCACTGATTACGAGTTATGATGAATATAAATCGTCTTCTAATGTCGAATTAAATCACGTTTCTATCTTGTTCTTAGTAAGGATCGAATTAGTTAATCTTCATGATATTGAACATGTTTCTAAAGATGATTGTTTCGGTTTATTTGTATTGGTTGAGTTAAATCTTTCCATTGATGTTTTTAGGTTTGCATTTAATCAGTCTCTTATTGACATATGTGCATCCTGTGCGGATTGCCTCAATGTTGTCTTAAGCCACAAGCGTTATAAGCAGAGAGGATGGTGGCTAGCAGTGGAATCCAGGACATACATCCCGTCTTATTTGGGACTCGTCAGCCGGATATACCTGTATCTTAGATTAAATGTTCGCTTTGGGACTCGAACTCAGGGCTAACCACCACTCATCTGTGCCTATGATTATTTTGGTTGCTTGTGTAGCGGTCTAGAATGTGGCTAATTAGAGAACTAGATTATTTCAAAATGATTTAATGTCCCTGGGATTAATGAAAGAAAAGGAGCATCAAACTACTGTATCAATTTATTCTATAACTCTTCAGCACTGCTCATAACTGCCATTTTATAAAGTTATATCCAAAACATTTAGAACATGTCAAACTTTTATTTTCAATTTAATAGTTAGCACCCTCTAGTTCCAGATGCTTCATGGTGTATTTTTGTCACCTTCCTTCAATGGAATTTGTTACTATTGGTTTGTTTGGCTTCATGAATATTGTGTTCGCTTATTATTAAATGAAAATTAGCAGAAAGTGTGTTGGTCATTGAGATTTTGACTTTGTTCATCATATAGAGCTGTAGTTAACTGGTACTAGTATTAAACTTAAATCATTAGAGCCCTAACTTGAAACATTCCAAGTCCAATTTGCTTACAGCATTCGGTTAGGATAATTAACTGTCACATTATGAACTCAGCGCACAATCCATTGTGAATGGGTTATTTAACTAAAATATTGGTAGTAACTAAAAATATATATGTTTATGAATCCTCCTTCTTTTTTAGTCTTGTATTCGTTGGGTCATTTGATCACTCGCAATGAAACCAAATTTGTTGCATCAGCTGGGATTGCAATTCTTGTGTTCCGTAGTGAATTAATTTTGCTATTTGGCCCATGTCTTTTATATGGGCTATTCAATGGATCTGTTAAACTTCGACTGAAACTGCTAAAGACAATCATTGCAACTACTATAATCAGTATCGGTATGTGTTTGAATTGTAATTTATCAATGCTTTCTAAATTTTCTGTACAGGGTCTAGTGTTTTAATCGATTCTCTACTATGGGGTAGATTAATCTGGCCAGAATTTGAAGTATTTTATTTCAATACAATTTTAAATAAAAGTGGACAATGGGGAGTATCCTTTTGTTTTGATCAAGTTTTGGCTTTTATCTATAATATTGACCATTTTTAAAATCAGAATTGATACATTTATCAAAAGGAGGTCTCGTTGAGATTTTAGTAATTTTATAGATGAGATCATGAGTCAATTGACGCTAGATCACCATGGGAAACCTGCAAGCACTGGACGGCCGTTTCGTCCTATTGTGGGACTCCTCAGCAGTACGCATCCACGATCCCGCCTCGTGAGATTCGAACCCACTTTTAATTAATTAGATTACCCATAAGGAAACTGAAAATAACACTTTATCTGATATTTTAGAGATTGATCTCTTACCTAAAGATATTCATCAGGTTGAAGCAAGTAGATAACTCCTCCATTTTGTAAGGTCTGTTCTTCTAAACATTCTGAGTAACCATGAGAATAACACGACTGCAAAGCAGAGTTATTAAGATACTATGAGATTATAGTTAGTGATCAAAATAGATTACAACCATATTATTTTCTAGTCAGATTGTGGATTTATTCACTTTAACCTTTTTTCTAGCCTTAATTGTACGTAGACAAAGTCAAGACTTATTTATTTAAACACATACGTATTGGTACAAAAGGGCACCAGATACATATGCGCCACACAAAATAATGAGAATGGGAGGAGAAAGGGGAAAGATGCGTATATATAGAAGAAAAAAGGATGAAAAGAAAGAAAAGGGTAATTATGGGAGGAACTGAAATGTACAACCAGAAGAACTCTCTCAGTTAAGAAAGTTATAACCACTCTTTATGAAGAAAGTAAAGGAAGGTTACAACAGGCTCGCCACTGGCTTCTATTCTGAGCCATATATGATAACGTCTCTAGCCACTGTGTTGCACCATCTCTCGGACCCCATCCAGGGAGTTGTGAAGGACCAACAGAAGCTAGCCCTTTTCAGCTTTCTTTCATACCACGACACTATGTCATACACTGACCACCTCTCTGTTTTTTCCAACCAGTCCCAGAGTCGGCAAATAATTTTTATGTTGGTTTGTTCTCTGAGCTGGATGGTTTGGTCGTGGAGCTTTCATCATCCTTCTGAACGACATCATCAGCACAAACTTCGGGTAGAAGTGAAGTGTTTGAATTTCTCCACATGTGATTCACAGCTTGTCCTCTGTCAATGACAGATTTAATGTCAATAAGAACCAATCAACATCGAGGTGCAGAGGACAAGCTGTGAATCACATGTGGAGAAATTCAAACACTTCACTTCTACCCGAAGTTTGTGCTGATGATGTCGTTCAGAAGGACGATGAAAGCTCCACGACCAAACCATCCAGCTCAGAGAACAAACCAACATAAAAATCACCCACCTGAGCTACAAATCTTCTCCACCGTCGGCAAATAATGCACGACGTGGAAGTCTCTGGGACGACATTCGTAGAACATGTCCAAGCCACCGAAGTCGGTGACAAAGTCAAGAACTAACCCCGCGTAAAGTCACTCTTCAACAATTTCAGATTTTTCTGATTGGACAACGTACATAAGTGTTTTTTTCTCTGTGGGTTCTTATTGATCAAATGCTATATTCTGAATATGTATTCTTTAGATATATCCATTTCATTGGTATTTCACATCTGCATTGCCAAAATCACTTTTATCCACTTATATATTATTATTTACATGGATTCTCTTAATACCTTTGCCAAAGATTTTTGGTTACCAACATAATATAATCTATTTAAAGTCTACTGGATTACTGTTGGTTGGTTTTACATTCGTTGGCTTATATTCTTTCTTACCTCATAAAGAATTACGTTTTATTATTTATGTATTACCTGTATTCAATTTGGCGGCAGCAGAGATTTCGGTTTATTTGTGAGTTGTTTGTTTATCTTTTACAATATTTATGTAGATAATTTGGACATCTGCCAAAAATGTAGGATAAAGTGTATTATGGAAAATATAATTTTAAAAAAACCTAATTCTGAGCTAATATTTAAATAGGTATCAGTGCCAAGGTTAGACTTGATAGTGCCAGGAAAGTCCTACTCACTGCCTTCTCGTGGTCTTACTGTTGTTTATGAAATTGGGAGGACGAAAAGTGAATGTCCAGCGCCTTAACCGGGTTGGTGGACACGGAAAGTTCACCTAGGGAAGTTGGAAAACCCTCATTCTAAACCAATGGTGTACATGGGCTCCAGTATCCTGAGGGAAGAAATGGCGTATGAATCAATCGTTGGTCAGTGGCTGCCATGGGACTGCATCTCCTCACGATGCTCCACTGCCTTATGGATCAGGCTTTTAGGTCAAAGGCTCTATTCTATTCCGTTAATTAAAAGTATATCACTGTATATATGATTTTCAGTTCTCTTAACGCATAGAGTCCTCAGATTATACGTGTATGAATAGCGGTTATAAATTAGTCCTTTTTTGTAGCCGTTTTTATTTTTAAAACTCTTAATAATTAAACAGCGAACTAATTTCAATTTTTTTGGCAGCTTGGCTCGAGCTTCTTCAGTTAAGTAGTTGAAATTAAAACCACGAAAATTTATAAGGTCACAAAAGCAATCCGGTACCAATCATACTTGAATATTGAGCTCGGTTTATAATGTGAATGGTATTCGAACTGTGGTTTATGTATCAATGTGTGTTATCCAAGTGACAATACTGTATTTAATTAAAGACAGGCACAGGTACAATTGGGTACCAAAATATGTATGTGCCACACAAATCGTTGAACTTATGTGTGGGTGGAATATTGTTTGTGTGCCCAAACTGGAGCAGGTGATTTTCTCAGGAGGCCACTCCTGAGTCTGTGAATCAGAGGTTTAGTCTACAAGGTAGTAAGGAAATGCTAAGAGATAGAGTTTCATGGTAGCCAGGAGTCCATACTCCATTCGATCTCTCAGAATCCTGAATCGCATGTGGACTGATGATTTGGAATCAGAGTTTTTCAACTCTGTTAAGTGTATACTTTATATCCACGAACCGTGCTTAAGCACTGGATATTCGCTTTTTGTCCTTTTCATTTCGTAATTAACAACTTTACGAAGAGAAGGTAGTGATTAGAAAAACCCTGTCAGTCAGCGACAACGTAGGACCAGGCACATATATGCATCGGTCCAAGTTGCCATACCTCGTTAGCACAACAAGATGAACACCGGATTCATAGAAGTAGTTAATTTAGTGGTGGTAATATATAAGAGAAAGGTGGTATATAGGGATATAGTATAGGAAGGAAAAGAGTTATGAAGCAATTTTAATCTCAAGGTTTAAGCGAAGATAAAGAGTGTATACACCTACGCCATTGTGATCGATTCTGAGCCATATCACCCAGAGTCTCCAACCATTGGTTACCATAGTCACGCGGACCGCAACCAGGTAGTTTGCATCTACCAACATCGCTCAGGCTAGAAGTTAGTGACTTCAAGCACTGATGCCATGTTTTGGTTTTGCCGCCCCTAACTCTCTTCCAACCATCCCCTACACTAGTCAACATTGCGCGTCGTGGTAATCGGTGTTCAGGCATTAGAAAAACCCTGATTCCAAACCAATAGTACACGTGGGCTCCAGTATCCTGGTGTATATTTGTCAATATCCCAATAAGTAGAAAAATTAAATTTTCTGATGTTTCGTCACTCAGTGTAAGCACCTTCTTCAGAGAATTTTTTCTTTTTTTATTATTATAGAGAAAAACCATTGAAGGGAACATATTTGAATTTCATTAAAAATAAGCATAAATTAAATCGAATAACCAATTTACGTATTTTATTCATTTTTGGTTGTTATATTCATCTATGTGTCAATATTGTATGTTCATTGATATTAATTATGGTTGCAAGAAAAAATTATCCTGGAGGTGAAGCATTAAATAGATTTAATGATATGGATCATTTAATGGATCGAACTGGTAAGTGACTTTATTATTATGATGATGAGAAGGGGGTTTTGTGGAGATGTTTAGTTATTTTATATAGTTGAAATCATGAGTCAATTAAAGCTAGACCGGTATGGTAAACCTGGAAGCACTGGACGGCCATTTCATCCTATTGTGAGACTTCTCAGCAGTGCACATCCACGATCCCACCATACGAGATTCCAACTCAGGACCTAACAGTCTCGCGTGTGAACGCTTACCCTCTAGATCACTTATCTGGCTGGCATTCAACAGTGTTAATGTCTAACTTCAACCAATTCACGAAATTGATCAACCATCCACCATTGTCTTCAGTGAGTTGCCATCTCACTACTGACCCGGTTAAATTCCACTGGTCACTGCATCTCACTAGGACTCCAGGAAATATCTCTTGAAGCCATTCAATAGTGATCATATGATTACTATCAGAAGAGAGTTTTGTGGAGATTTTTAATATTTTTATGGTTGAACCCATGAGGTTAAGCGCTCGCGCGCGAGACTGGTAGGTCCTGTGTTCGAATCACTCGAGGCGGTATCGTGGATGTGCACTGCTGAGAAGTCTCACAGTAGGACGAACCGGCCGTCCAGTGCTTCCAAGTTTTCCTTGGTGGTCTTATTTATTTATTTAAAAATAAATATTGGTACAAGAAACCACCAGATAAATATGCGCCTCACAAATCTCATTCGATTTGTGTGAAGGCTGATACTGCCCAGGTGCCCAGACTGAAGCAGGTGGTTTTCTTAGGGGACCACACCCCGAGTCTTTGACCTAAAGGTCTCATCCACAAGGCAGTGGAGCATCGTGAGGAGATGTAATCCCATGGTAGCCGGTGACCAACAGTTGGTTCATACGCCATTTCTTCCTTCGGGATCCTGGAGCTCATGTGCACCATTAGTTTGGAATCAGGGTTTTTCAACTCCCCTAGGTGGATACTCTACATCCACCAGCCCGGTTAAAGCACCGGACATTCGCTTTTCGTCCTCTCAACTTCGTAAACAACACTGGTGCCACGAGAAGGCAGTGAGTAGGACTTCCCTGGTAGAGGCTATATATTCGCGTGGCCATATGAGAGCATTTCGAGAGGGAGAGCAGACTCTCCCCACTCTCGGCCGTACCAGGGAATTTGGGGGCTAGCTTCAATTGGCTCACGCTTTCAACTATAAAATTAGTATTATTTTCAATATACTTTTTATTTACTATACATATTTGTAATAACGCTTGATTTTCGCCTTGACACCAATAAGACCAATAGCTATCCTGCTATAATGGTGTACAGGAGATATTATCACAACTCTGATCAAATACACATGACTTTCTCGATCAGAATTTGAGCGTATTTCTATGTTAACAATCGACTATAGCAATAATAACAAGCATATAGAAAAATATGTAACACATCTAATATTAAAAACACGAAGTTCAGCTAAAGGATCTCTTTTCAACAAATTTATTATCAACCTGTACAGTTCACTTCGTATTGTTTATTTGGATCTTCCTATTGATGTTCAGGACTGTAATTGGTCAGTCTCTTATTGGCACATGTGCATACTGTACGTATTGTCTCGATATAGCCTTAATTTGCAAGCATTTTAAGCAAAGATGGATAGTGGCTAGCTGTGGAATCTAGTACGCGGGTTTCGTTCTATTTGGAACTCGTCAACTGGATACACCTGCATCTCAGAGTTGATGTTCACTTTGGGACTCGAACCCAGTACTTTTCGCTTCAAACGCCATCGCTGAGTGGATAACGCGATTGATAATAAATTCGTTGAAAAGAGATCCTTTTTCTGAGGTTCGTGTTTTTGAATGTTTAAATGAGACATCTATTACTAGTCTGACTAGGCAAATAATCATAATATTATCGTCTTTATCCATAAATCAATATATTCAGTATAGTTTGAGAATAATCATTAGTAAATAATGATATTAAGTCTTTACATGCATTACGTAGATAAAATGTCCTCTGACTTCGTATTTGGATCTATATTGTATTCACTGTTAAGATGACATAACCATGTGATAGATCAATGATTTTGGTTATTACTGCAGTACAAAACAAAAAAAGCACGATTTTTTATTGTTTAAGAGAAAAAATATATCTAACTTTATTCAGAATTGTAAGTGTAAATTGTCAGTTTTTAATATGTCACATTTATGGAATTTTATACAGCTCATTGCCGGGAAGTCCTACTGACTGCCTTCTCGTGGCAGGGTTGTTGTTTACAAAATTGTGAAGACGAAAAGCGAATGTCCGGCTTTTTAACTGAGATGGTGGTGTGGCCCTCTAAGGAAACCATCTGCTTCGGTTTAGGCATCCGGTCAGTATCTTAGCCCACACACAAACCAAGTGACTTGTGTAGATGCCCCTTTGTACCAATATTTACGTGTTCAAATAAAGAAATAAATGGAATTTTATCATTAGGTGGTTATTAAATCAATTTCAGGCTTTAACAAATATGGCCGTCCAGTGCTCCCACATTTTTCATGGTTGTCTAACTTCAATTGACTCATGATTTTAACTATAAAAAAGGGCTATCATTGTCGGACGCCGATAAGCATGTAGATATTTACCTATTAACATGATTGAAACTGTGCTTTCTTGCATGGCTTACTCTTGTATCAAATATACGCTTTATGTTCCTGTATGACAGTTATTTCCGTTTCAGTTTGTTTGAAATAAATAAATAAGAACGATTGTTTTATCAGGACGGGGATTTGTGAATATTGTATTATTTTCATAGTTGAACTCACGGGTCGATCTAAGTGGTCTAGAGGTTAAGCATTTGCTCGCGAGACCAAAGGTCCTGGGTTTGAGCCTTGTGTGCAGAGTCGTGGATGCGCATTGCTAAATAGTCTCATACTAGGACGATTGTTTTTACTGTAGTGATTCTATATCTAGATACTTTAAATGTTAAAACATTAATTTTAGCTTCATGAGAAGCGTGGATTAGGTGTTGTAGACTTTTGATCCCCCCCGAATGCCCTAGTACGGCTGAGGGTGGGAGAATTCCACTCTCCTGCGATGCTCTCATACGGCTACTCATTAATGTATATCCACTGCTGGGGAATTCTTACTCACTATCTTCTTGTGGCGAAGGTGTTGTTTATGAAATGAAGAGGACAAAAAGTAAATGTTCAGTGCTTCCAGGTTTTTAATGGTGGTCTAATATTAACCGGTTCATGATGTCAATTAAAATATTTCTGGTAAATTGATTTTCAACGGCTAAAGTTAACAGATTTAATGCTCAATCAAAATTTACTGGAGCTTCGCTGATTTCGATTTTTCAGAAAAATGGTTTGAAGTCAGTTAAATAGTTCTTTTATTTAAAAATCAAGTGTGAACTCCACCATATTGACTAATCTTTTTTTTATTTTATGCAATCAACTACACATACACACACACTTCTTTATACCTACGACTACTTTATATAAAAAGATTACATATAATCCCCATAATGTCAACCTAGAATTCGAACGCCCACAAATGTCCTGGTACGGTCGAGGGTGAGGAGTCAGCTCACCCTCTAGAAATGCTCGCACATGGTCACGCGTAAATAGCCACTGTTATGTAAGTCTTGCTCACTGTCTTCTCGCTACGGGTGTGTTTTTCCACGAAATTAAGAAGACGAAAAGTGAATATATATATATATATATATATATATATATATATATATATGCCCCCAAATGCCCTGGTACGGCCGAGAGTGGGGAGAGTCTGCTCTCCCTCTCAAAATGCTCTCATATGGCCACGCGAATATATAGCCTCTACCAGGGAAGTCCTACTCACTGCCTTCTCGTGGCACCAGTGTTGTTTACGAAGTTGAGAGGACGAAAAGCGAATGTCCGGTGCTTTAACCGGGCTGGTGGATGTAGAGTATCCACCTAGGGGAGTTGGAAAACCCTGATTCCAAACTAATGGTGCACATGAGCTCCAGGATCCCGAAGGAAGAAATGGCGTATGAACCAACTGTTGGTCACCGGCTACCATGGGATTACATCTCCTCACGATGCTCCACTGCCTTGTGGATGAGACCTTTAGGTCAAAGACTCGGGGTGTGGTCCCCTAAGAAAACCACCTGCTTCAGTCTGGGCACCTGGGCAGTATCACAGCCTTCACACAAATCGAATGAGATTTGTGAGGCGCATATTTATCTGGTGCTTCCTTGTACCAATATTTATGTGTTTAAATAAATAGATAATAAAATGATCGGTGGATATGAAGGATCTACTTAGGGTATTGGAAAACCCTGATTCCAGAATTCTGAGGGAACAAATGGTGTTTGAACCCATTGTCGGTGACCGGCTACCATGGGACTGCATCTCCTGGCGTTTCTCTACTGCCTTATATATTAGACTTGTAGGTCAATGGCTCAAGGAGTCGCCCTCTACACGAACCACCTGATTCGGTTTGGGCAACTGGGCAGTATCACAGCCTTCACACGAAGCAATGATAACTACCGCTGAATTCGTTGTTATTGTTTGTCGCATATGTATTTGGTGCCCTCTTATACCAATATTTGTGTGTTAAAATAAATAATTCGAATGCAGTATATATTCATGATTGCTATGTACAAAAGCGGTATTTTTATAACTTGATTATCTTCCAATAGCAGTTTTGGTGTATATTTTAGATTTTCGATCTAAATTTAGAACTGGGGATGAATTCACGTTTTCAAGTCACCTGAGTGTATTGTATTTGGTAACTGTAGTTATGTTTTCGGTTATTTAGTGAATCAATTTTAGACTTTCGCGATGTTGTAATTTTTCTTCCATCATGACTAAGTGCGCTAAACTTTATACATCCGTAGCATGATGAAGTGGTAGTTTTATCATAGGAAGTCAGCAAAAATGACAGAGAACGAAACATGTCCTCCATTATGGATTACAATTGTATAAAAAGTAATTCCCGCTTCATTTTAGTTGGTTGCCAGGCACAAGGTCGAAATTTTATTATTTATTTATTTAAACATAAATATTGGTACAAAGTGGCACCAGATATATATGTGTCACACAAATCTCATTTGATTTGTCTGAGTGCTACGATACTGCCCAGGTGGCCAGACCGAAGCAGTTGGTTTTCTTAGGGGGCCACATTCGGAGCCTTTAACCTAAAGATATGATTCACAAGGCAGTGGAGCATCGTGAGGAGATGCAGTCCAATGGTAACCGGTGACCGACGATTGATTCATACGCCATTTGTTCCCTCAGAATACTGGAACCCATGTGCACCATCGGTGTGGAATCAGGGTTTTCCAACTCCTCTAGGTGGACTTTCCGTGTCCAGCAGTCCGGTCAATTCGCCGGACATTTGCTTTTCGTCCTCTCAATTTCGTAAACAACAGTAGTGACACGAGAACGCAGTCAGTAGTACTTCCCTTGCAGAGGCTATTTACGCGTGGCCATGTGAGAGCATTTGGAGAGCGAGAGCGGACTCTCCCCACTCTCGGCCGTACCAGGGCATTTGGGGGCCGAATGAGAGTATAGTTAATCCTCACCTGAATGTACATTTACAAGGAATTCTTTTCATAGCTATAATAATTATTGTCTGTGTCTTTAAAAAAAGAACCGTTTGTATTTTTTGTATTTTCATAGATATTCACGTTCATATTTGTAATTTGGCTGCACAAACCGGTGTAACACGCTTTTTAGAAGAAAACAATCAATGGATGTACGTTAAAACTGAATGTATACATAATTTTATCGATCAGTTTCCTTATTTGTTGGCTTTTTGGCTCAGTGTTTAATGATGAATTCAGTAATCAGTCTTAGAAGTGCATAGTGGTAAGGTTTAAACATACTGTACTAGGTAGAGATTGTTGGTGAGGTGGTAAATTTTTATCAATTAAAGTGGTTATGACTCATGTTACATATGCTAAACCACTAAATACCTCGACAGTCGATGTTATCTGGTGTCGAAACCGGTTTAAAGAAAGCTGAAGGTAGGCAAACCAAGGGGTGGCAGTAATCGCCCATCTAGTCATCGACAATTAGACTAAGTTATATAGCTAAGTGCAGACTACCTAGTTCACGTCCGTATGATCAACGTAACCAATGCTTAGAGACTTTAAATGATATGACTCATAACCATTTATGGTGACACAGGCACATTCACTTTTTGTCTCCGCTTAGAACCTGAGTGCTAAAATCTTTCTACACCTTTATTTTCTACCTCCCCTCCTTTTCTTTACTACTTGGAGATTCGTCTTGATAATTCTCTCTCATTGTGTTATTGTGGTATAACAATTTCAATCGATGGATATATGTGTCAAGTTCTGTGTTGCACATGACATAAATAAAGTTACATGAGTTTAAACGTTGATTTTTTTGAACTTTTGAACTAAAGTGAGGGCTTTATAGTCTCCTTTTTTAACATTGTAATCACTTCTCACGAAAGTATATTTTTGTGTAATAACTATTTTATTTGGATTAGTATCTGAGATATAGATTTTTAGCTAAGGTAAGTGTGGTATAAATGAAACATTTTCTATAGAGACACCAATTTATAAGCAAAGATGGATAGTGGCTAGCAGTGGAATCCAGGACACACGTTTCGTCCTGTTTGGGACTCGTCAGTTGGACGTACCTGCATCTCAGAGTTGATGTTCATTTCCGGGACTTGAACCCAGTACCATCCGCTTCAAACGACATCCCGTTGTCCTCTTACCTACTGAGTCCTGATAGCCACCTGCTTGTGCAATGGGATGAAGTTTAAAATCACTTCGTATTGTTTGTTTGAATCTTTCCAAACAAACAATCCCAAGTGACTATCAGGGCTCAGTAGCTAAGTGGATAACGAGATAGCGTATGAAGCGAACGGTACTAGGTTCGAGTTTCAGAGTGAACATCAACTCTGAGATGCGGGTACATCCAGCTCACGAGTCTCAAATAGGACGAAACCCACGTCTTGGATTCCACTGCTAACCACTATCTAACTTTGCTTATAATGCTTGCGAATTAAGGCTATATCGAGGCAATGCGCACAGTATGCATATATGCCAATAAGCGATTGATCAGTTTCAGTCCTAAACATCTATAGAATCAATAAATCAGTTTATAATGACGAAAGATATCCATTTTGTCATTGAAAAGATATAAAAGAAAGATACTTTTGTACGCTCTGTATTAGATATGAACAACTCACCATATTATATTATTGTTAAATGGTTAGTTGAAACTTTACAACCAGTTAAAAATCAATTTAATGGGTAGACCACTACTGTATTGTTTGATTTTGTTGATTCAGTATCGGGCGTCAGTGTAAACGAGAAGAAGATAACTTTGTTAGATATTATCTCTCTTTTTACAAATATACTTCTGGAAGTATTGGACGGCCGTTTTGTCCTAGTATGGGACTCCTCAACAGTGCGCATCCACGATCTCGCATGCGGGACTCGATTGGCTGAAGGTAGACACTAACAGCGTTGAATGCCGACCGGCTCAGTGGTCTAGAGGTTAAGCGCTCACACGTGATACTGATATGTCCTGGGTTCGAATCTCGTGAGGCGGGATCGTAGATGTGCGCTACCACTGAGGAGTCCCACAATAGGACGAAACGGCCGTCCAGTGCTTCCAGGTATTCCATGATGATCTAACTTCAATTGACTCATGATCTCTACTTCATAGTTGTAAAACATACTATAGTTTCTTGTTTGAGATTTATTCGGTTTAGTAGTGTTATATCTCGTACTTAGATTTCTTAGTCTGTCGCGTAATACTTGAACACTCGAACGCCTGAACCATCCCAAGTCACAAATCAGAAGACAGAAGACAAGTAGAAGGAATGTTATTCCAAACATTGTCGATTATGATACAAAACTGTCAGGTATTTATAGTTTTTATTAAAAACGAAATCATCATTATAGTTATCCAATCCACACATAGGGAGTTTTCAGCATTGTCCAATAGAGAAGCTACACGTAGTGATTCTAGAATATTCTTCCAAAAGCTGATTGGATGAAATATGTCGGGCTTCTTCTAGGCTTCTTAGAGCTTCCTCGACTTCACCTGTGGACCATCCTTACAAGTAGTGACCTTTGACAGAATAAGTAACCTATCGTATTTGTTTATTATTTCAAATTTCCTTTTAAATCATACATCTTTTTTTATTCATTCAATCTCTTTTTGTTTAGTTATAATAAAACAGAAGGTATAGAAACTAATTTCAATATATTAAACACATCGAATTTCACCCATATTATATCAGAATTATCCACAGAAATGATCAATGAAAAATTATTATCATTTAAACAAATTGCTCAAATTGATTGTTTCCATGGTATCCAGTTTCATTCAAATTGGCTATTTTGGAAAATCATTCATTTCAGTATTAAACCTTGTTTGTTTATTTATGAAAGAAAAACGTTTGTTAATTAATGCCAATTTGTATAAGAATTCGTTCTTTTAAGATTGGTTTTCATAAACTATGAATGGTAATCAGCACCAACTATTTCTATGAATCCAGTGTTCATCTTGTTGTGCTAACGATGTATGGCAACTTGGACCGATGCATATATGTGCCTAGTCCTACGTTGTAGCTGACTCACTGAACACCAATTATACTTTATATGTATCAGTTCCCAAATGTCCTGGTATGGCTGAGAGTAGGGAAAGTCAAGTCTCCCTCTCTCAAAATGCCTTCATATGACCATGCGTATACAGACACTGACATGGGAGTCCTACTCATTACCTTCTCATGGCGGGAGGGGGGTGTCTTTACAAAATTAAGAGAATGAAGCGCGAATGTCTGGTGCTTTAACCAGGTTGGTGGATATGGAGGATCGATTTATAAGAGTTGGAAATTCTTGATTCCAAACCAATGGTACACATGGGTTCTAGCATCCTGAGGGAAAAAAATAGTGTATGAACCGATTATTGGTGACCGGGTACCATGGGACTGCATCTCCTAAAGTTGCTCCACTACCTTATGGATTAGACCTTTAGGTCAAAGATACGGGGTATGACCCCCTAAAAAACACCTGCTTCAATTTGGGCACACAGGCAGTATCCCTAACCTTAACACAAATCATATGATTTATGTGGCGCATATGTATTTGGTACCTCCTTGTACCAATGTTTATGTCTAAGTAAATAAATAATTATCAGGGGTGTAGAAGCAGAAATCTATCATATATAATTGTGTACACGGTAACTATTTTGAACGAAAACTTTATCTCGTATGGTTTCAGTACTATTTACATAGATTAACTTGTTTGTGCTGCATAACCAGATCATATTTTGACATACATTTACACTTCAAACTGACAAAACTCTATAACCATTTGTAGTTTCGTCGACTTAGTTATGAGCTGCATCCCTATGTTTTCAAAAAAGGGATTTAGTCCTTCCTTATAGATTGAGATGGTCGAGACCAGTCAGACTGGAGCACATCTAGCCTTTACACTCTGGCTAGTTTTTCAGCTTCTAAGACTGGACATCATCCTTTAAGATCTACAGAGTCAACCTACTATGTTATTCTGCCCTGTTTTTTAAAGCTAATTATGTTGGAGGACTTGTGTCCGTTAAATCTTCGTACTTCGTTTCGCTGATTTGGTCAGAAAACACGACAGCACAAAAATATTTGATCTCTTACTTTGGGTGTAAGTTAAGGGTGGCAACCTTACTATTTTATTTTCATTGCTCACTACTGTTCACAATCAATGCATAGACTTTTCTCAGCCTTTGATTAAATTGCCTTCGCCCCCCCCCCACTATGTCCAGAGTTTACTAGGACAAGTTTCAGAGGGATAATTAATTGAGTAGAAACTTCTAAAACTTCCCAATCTTCGGATTCTGTGGTTTTCCTCAAAGTCATATGAAAATTTGTGGCTTTATCCAGTCTGGGGAAATATTGGGGAAAATTCTAAATTTTCTCAAACGTTTTGGGGATTTCCCCAAAATAACTTGAAGTATTTGGTAAAAAAAAAACATGGATCGAGGGGAAGTTTGGTGGTTTTTGTAGCATATTCCACAAACGTTTCTATTAAAGCTTCCACGAAACTGATAAGATTTTCCCCAAAATCAGGAGATTGGGTTGCTAGACTTCACAACTGTCTAAATACGATATCAAGCTACTTCGGAATAAACATACCCTTTATGAACGACTAATTACTTAGCTAGTTCTCCCTTAACTATTTATACATGTTAACAATTTTCATTCCATTAGAAAACTAACTGAGCTCAATGGCGATAATTTTGAAAACCATACTACTTACAAGTAATAGGGGTCATTAAGTGGAAAGATACTTGTTGACTTCGTCATTGATGACTAAATCAATTACTCGGTTTTTATATGCAAGACTGTTCCGAGTTGGAATAATGAAGGTTGGTTTAGCTATGACAGTTCTATGTACATTTAATAAATGATCGTCCTGCTTTGAGCTCGACAACTCAGTAGTTGTATATTCTGCCTTGGACATAATGGGATTCGGACTCACTCTGAGATTCGTTTCTGAAACAGCCTCTACTGAATCACTGAAAGGATTAAATACGACTACTAAACCGGTTGAATTACTGCTTATCAACGGTTTGTGTAGCTCTTAAACGCGTGGATTTATTTTGGAGAAATCTGTACGAAATTTATTCCCTTATCAATTTCCACCATTATTGAAAAAAGTGAATGACTCATCAACCCTGACTTTAGTCTTTCTGAAAATTTCGACTGATTCCTGATGAAGTAATAGAGATCGCTTTCTACTGTTGAACTTTCCTTAAATTCTCGCACAACTGATGCGAATTCGAAATAATAGTTTAAAATATCCTTGAAGCCATCTACTGGATGAAGGATTATTCTCCTTCTTGCTGCTTTATCAACTAAGATTTTTCGGTGCCTAATATCAGAAATTTAGTCTAGTGATATTATTTCTTCCCTCTCTCTGCTCGAAATTCCGGTCAACAATTTTGTCATGATTTGAGACAGTAATCGGTATCATGTGCTAAAGTTATCAGTCGAGATCCTGAATACAATATTTTTTTCTCCCTAGTCTACTATTCTGGTTAAAACCTAGCATCCCAGACCTGACCAATTATACGTTTCGACCTTCAAGGTTAACATTGAGCCAGTCCAAGCTACACTTATTGATGCGCCACCCAAAAGCTTTTTTCTGTCTTCTACATTGAGTCCGGGTCCTACCATAGCTATATTTCAATTACGCAGCTCAGCCAACAACTACTTCAAGCACCCACTAACTTATATACACAGGTTAGACTGTGCAGAACATCAAACAAGAAACCATACTTTAAATACAATTAGGCCGCAAGTGGCAAGGGAGGAAGAGGACAGTACACAAATAGTTACCAATAATTAAAGAATAGTGAAACTTATAAAGACAGTTAATAGGTCAACTGGAAGCTTACAATAGGAATATATGGATACAATGATACGAATGTTTATTAGCTATACACTAAAAATGTAAATAATAATCCGAATACTAGTTCCAAAAGTTACGACTTTCCCGATACTCAACTCGTCATAACAGGTCACAGGACTGAGACAGTTCCTCGGGCACAGCGTGATATCTTCGATTAAAAGTTTATTAGTTAGAAATTGGGTATGCATACTGAAAAATAAACAAACACTCGAACCTTGCTCTGTACACTAGTTTACTGAAGGGCTATACGTGTTTCGATTTATTAAGGGTTGCGTCCCAGTGACAGGAATTATAAGTGTAGTAGAGAGTAATTTACGAGGAGTTATCAAGCTCATACGTACATTAGAAAAGCACGAAGTAACATAAGGAATTTATTATCAAGCTGTACAACCGTACTTACATGAAATTGAGGCTTCATTTTATGATGAACACGATGATATGACAAAGATAAAACTCTAATATTATTATTGTAAAGGAAAACAAAGCACGTTTGAGCAACTTCCACAAGACATTCGTGAATAAGTTAGCACATCAAGAAATGAGATAGGTGGACCTAATTCCCTATCGTGGTTTACAAACATTGAAAGAGTGTTGAACGTCAATCAGGCCAACTTCCTTATAAAAATTTATAAATATGGTAGTCTCATGTTGTTTTTTTGTAGAAGTTGAGACGCTTAATGACTACATTATGTCGGTTTCTCAAGCTTAGGTATGAAGTAATCTGTTAAAAAAGCACCTATGATGATCTCAACCCTTTATCAGATTTCTATACCGAAAATAAACTAGAAGTTCAAAGTGCAACGAAATAACAGTCCATTCAACCAAGTAGTTAGCGAACCAGTATCTATGGCGTGTGGCTCAACTTAGCTGCACTAGTGAACTAAGAATATCAAATGAGAATACCACGTTCCCAGAAGTATCAATTTACAACTCTTCGATTTACGTTTGTAAATGCTTTCAATATCAACGTGTTAGTGGACCATGATAAAAGTATTAAACTTCAGATTAAGACGACAAAACTAAACTAATATGAATACCAATTGGTGAAATCAAAACACTTAATCAAGTATTTTCAATCTCTTTTTTAGAACATTGGGTACAGGTATATATTACAGTTTGTCCTTCATCTGCTGAACGAGTTTGAAGTGTAACATAAGTCATTCTATCATTACCGCAATAGGCACATTCTTTTCTAATAGATGGTCCATCAAATGTTGACTGTGATGTACTGTTTTCAAATTGTGACTCCAAAGCCTGCTTTAAAGCAATTTCTGATCTTAAGATCTTTTTAGCCCCTCTAATCATTGATGGAAAGAATAAGGATGTAGATTCATACTCATCGTTATTAAATTGGCCTATTTTACTAGATTTGGCTTCAGTATTGAAAGTTGCATCCATATTACTGAACCAATGCATACATGTGGAAGTTTTACATTTTCGGCATACTAATGAATCATTAACTTCCAACTTATGTGGAAGAAGAGTTCCACAAACGTAACAAAAATATCGATGAATCCGTTCCAAGCCAAGAGGTGGACCAGAATGTTTCTGAAGCATACTTCTGCAAGTAATAAGTGACAACGTAATTGATAGTTAAGAGGGATATAAAAACAGAGAATACCAATCAAACGTGACACATACTTTAACAATTTGTACGAATTCAAAAATCCCCATAGAGTATTCAAAACAAAGAATGTTTGAGGTAAAAATTGTTTTCAATAATTTCATCAGACTTTATAGTTATAAATCAATAAATGCTATATTACGATAGTTGAAATAAGATATGTGCATATCAGTTGTGATTGAATGAAATATTATCCAACGTCAAAATGGTAAACTTTTACATCGATTACGACTTAAGCACGTCCAAAATTTCATTTGTAAATCTGATAGATTATTTAAAAAAGGGGTAAAAAAAATCGGTCGACAGGGGTTGGTTAATAGTCAACATAACGCAACGAATCCTGTGAACATAATGCAGAATAGCGTTGGGTTAGCTGAGATCGTAACAACGATGGTAATCACAATATTAATGATAATAAGTCACGTGAAGATAATATGTACTAAGTAAAATTCCTCCAAGGTACTTGCGCAGAAATGACAA